AGGTAATCCAGCTCAACGGACTCGAGTTTAAATAACAGGCGGGAAAACGCAACGGTGCTTCATGGGAGGCTGCACTGATGATGTTACCTAGCAGGGTAATAAACGTCTGCAAAACAACGAACCAGCTTGGCGAGCCAACCAACTACAACATCCACAACCCGAGCTACAAATCTACTCTAAAACCTTAGCTATTCTAATTCTAAAAGATGTTCTTTTTTGATTCAGGAGCCTAGTCTCCGAATCGACTAGGTTGCCCTCTGTTTCGGTGAGGAATTCTATTATATTGTATTGCTCATCTCCAAGGGGCCTCACCCAGCAAGATTGCCTCGTTCCACAAAACCCAGTCGAGAATGGCCTGTTCCTGAGTTGGGTCATCAATATATTGGCCCAGAAAACCACCCTGTGTGCTCTCCAGGAATTCCTCCTGTGTGGTAGTTGATTTACCCAATCTGTATGCAGAAAAGTCACCCATAATTAGAGATGTTCTTTTATTGTATGTGTCTCTAATTTCCTGTTTGAACATAGAACATAGAACAGTACAGGCCCTTCGGCCCACTCATGTTTTTTGCCCATTGGTGTTTCTCCGCTCTACCCATACATATTTCATATTATCGGAGCTAATTTCCTATCTCACTGTTGTGTTAATTTCCTGTTTAATCAACGATGCAACTCCACTGTCCTTTTTGTCTGTCCTTGCTAAATATCGAATACCCCTGGATATTTAGTTCCCATTCCTGGTCCCCCTGTAGCTGTGTCTTTGTCATTCCGACTATATCATACCTGTTTTCATCTACTTGCATAATTAATTCATTCACTTTATTGAGAATGTTCCACACGTCAAGGCACAAAATGTTAGGGCTTGACATTATTTGTTCCTTTCCCATTGTTTTTCACTGTTGCTAGTTTGACCCTGGCCCTTGATTTCTCTGCCGATCACTTTTTTTATTCCCCCTTTCTCTGTTTAGTTCTTGTCCTTGATTCCTCTTCCTCTGACTCCTTGCATAGATTCCCATCTGCCTGCAGTTTTAGTTTAAAGTCTCCAACAACCACACTCGCAAAAATAAAAGGTTGTACTGTGGAACAGACTAAAGGGGTCAAATAACTTATTCTTGCTCTGAATTCATGTGTCATGCATGCAACTGTAAAATATCATTTTGTATCCTCGTTAATAACAATGTACACTAATGTGGTTCAGCCCACTAATCCTTGCTGCCTCATTTCTCTTAATTTGCTCCATTTCTAGCTACTTTGCTAATGTATCTTTTGAATTGACTTCTCCTGTACTTGCAAACTTGCCTTTATACATGTTGATTGTTTTCTTTTCTCATTTCCATAGTGTGTCCTTGGCAACGTTATTGTTAACAGAGTTAACGTTCACATGGATGTTAATTATGGCTAATTAAATGTGTCCGTCACCTGTCAATTTCACAATTGCTGAATTAGTTTAAGACTGTCCTTAAATTTTCTTTGTCGTGTTGTGTTGCTGATGAATATTTGCGCAGGAAATAAGGAAAAAATTAACTTTCCTTCCGAAACTTCTGACGTCTTCATTTAGCCGCAAGGCTGCAAGATAGATAATATCGTCAGGTGATATTGTCTAGTGAACGTGTGATGCAGTATATTGTCTCAGTATACCACAGTCAGACTTAACCCCTTTTACTGTATGTCCAGTTTTGGTTGTAGGTAGTTTGTGGCTGTTTTATACAGCATGAGTAAACCAAAGGCCTGAGTTTAAATGTCAGTCATCCTCAGTAAATCTGCTCATTTGTGGGATGGTAACAAGAAGAATATATTTGTGAAAATCACTAGTTTTTGTTGAAAACCCATCTGATTCACAAATGACCTGCAGCAAATTGAGCCTGCCATCACTATTTGGTCTGTACCACACCTGGCTTTAATTTCTCATTGCATGGTTAATTCATTTTTACGCTCTGAAGTGGCTGAATGAACCTCTCAGCTCTACTTAGCATTGCTCAGTGATGGATGATGAATGCAGTCTTTTCCAGTGTTGCCTGGATCATGCGCAGAAGGCACAGAGCCACTGGTTCCTTATGGTGAGATCTTCTTTGCGATTGTTCCCTGAGGCGACTTATCCTTGAAGACGGCACTGGTGCATTCAGATGAGACCATATACTACAGATGAAGTATACCATCCGTTTGCATGTCGTATTGATCATCATTTTGCTTAAATCTGTGCCTTTGTATAATTCTGATATTATAAAATAGCTTTAAAAATGTTTTGGATTAGAATATGTGCAATGATTGCTCACTTGATGAAATTTTGATTTTTAAATTAAGCCTTAATTTGCTCTTTATTTTCAGTGAATTATATTGAAACCAACCTGTAATTTTCTCCTAGCCGTGTTTCAAGTAAATATAATGGTGCTTACCTTGATATGCAGATAAGAGATTTTATGTTTGTTGGTTAGAAATGGCAGATGAATTTTCTGTTCTTCTGTATCTGAACAGAAAATATGTTGGCCTGGTAATTTAATACCATCTGCCACCTGAGCTGAATGTGGTCCAGCCCCCTTTTATGTGCCCTCTTGAGATTACGTTCACAGTTAAATATCCTTTCGAAACTGAATACTGGCTTCCCTCGCAAAGATGAGAATGTGATCATAATTGAGCTTGGTGGGGGGTGGGGGGGGTGGTGGAGGGGAAGACAGATTAAGAACTGTTTTCATATTGCTTACAGATGAGTTGTGATTGAGAGAAGAAAATTTGAGAGTGGGTTAGTGCACATATATTATTGTCCACAGTCATCCTCTAATGCTTGCCATATGAGTGCAGCAGATGCAGATTGAACTACAGTGATGTGCTACTGAAGCCCATTCCTGCAGTTCGAATGTCTTTGGGTAGCTTGTGATTGCTAACTCGAACGTATTTCCTTGATCCTTGTGAAAACAAAATCAGCTGCTTTATTTTTATACTGTGTGTTTTACCTTCACTGATAGATAACTCATTATTTATTGTGAAGTGCAAATAGATTTCTGCAATGAGATGAGAGGGGAAACATTGTCACGGATATTTGGTGATCCATAAAGAGATTGTTTCATTTTTTTTTATTAATAGTTCAGCTTTAATCAAGGCCAATACCCTTGGGTCTGTTTTAAAACCTGTTTGGCAGAATTCGGTGTAGAAACACTTCTGTATAAAAAAAAAAATCTTGCTGTGTCCAGCGTTTGTCAATAAAGCAAATACTATACAGGGTGGAGAGTATTTAATGTTCCTGTAGGCAGAAACCAGATTATCATACAGTCATTTATATGTAAATACTGTTTTTTTTTTAAAATAATACTGCTTGAGATAGCTGGTGAATGCAGTGTTAGATTGGAGTAGGGTATGGTGTAATTAGCCGAGCTGTCTTTCCGCATTCAATACATATCAAAATGTGTCGTCTAATTCTGAGGGTAGTGTTCTCGTGAAACCAAAGCGTTTCTGGAAAACTAGTTGAAAGATGAAGCAAGAAGTGTATGCTGTGTTAACTTACATCAAATAATGTAATTCCTAATTGTTTTATTACATGGTGCAATTATGTATTTGAGCTGTAGGAGCTGGGTATATTTCTTTACCTGTGCTGTTATACATGGAATGACAATGACTCCAGCGTTCTGAATCCTATAAAGTCAGGTACAGTTAGAGAAAATAAAATATCTGTAATCTATAAAATGCATATGTGTGAATGGTCTTAACTTCACCATCTGTCATTATCACATATTCCATGCATGGATATATCAGAATACATTTCCCTATGTGACAGTTTAAGGACCTAGTACAAGTTGGATGAAATATCGATTTGCAAGACATGAAGTTTAAAGTTATTCACCTTGTTACGTAATTCACTTTGTTACTGCACTCACACTCCAAATGTTAATCTCTGATCTTTGCTGTCCGACCGTGGGATCCCTGAATGTTAAAATTGATCCAAGACAAAGAGCAGATATCAGTGGCTTAAGTACATAAACTCTGTGCCACTGACCTCGAGTTCATATTTTGTTCCAACTTCAACATAACTCGTGTGAAGGGTTACTTATTTTTCAGAAGCTAGCGTCCTTAACCATTCCCTGTCTGGTTTGCATTGCTTGTGTAGTATGCACCTTACAATATGTGCACATCGATGACTGAAACCTGGACCAAGTACACCACTTTAAATTCGGTCATTAAGATATGTTTTGTTGAAGGACTGACTGGTAATATTTCCCTGAAAGTAGAATTGATTAACTGTTCCTCTAATGGGTGGCAGTACTGATACTTGGTTTTGAGTGGGTTATTGGTTTGCCTTTATGAATTCATTCAATTAATTAGAAGTAAAAATAATACCAAATAAGTCAGGTTTCCAGCCAAAGGAAGAACATGTGTTTATGTAGTCATTTTTCATGGCAAAGTGCTTTACGGGTTAATTAACTTGTTTATGTTTAACATTTCATTTATTTTTGGGATAAATTTTACTTGATATTTGCTGTTTCAGTGCATGTCTAAGAATTTGTATGCTGTATCTTTAGTGTTAACTTTTCAAATTTTTATCTGTTACTTAATCACTGTCCCTTGGTGTCATCTTGATGGCTGTATCTTTTAGTTAAATTCTCCTATCTCTGAATTTTAAAGATATATTTGCAGAATAGCAGGTGTTTTCAGCGTACACTGAACCAATACTTTGTGCAAGTTATCCAAAAATAAAAAACTTACAAAGAGGGTAACTGATGAGATCAACTCCGAGACTACTTAATCTCTTGCTGTCATTTGAATCTTATCATTTTTTTTGAAACATTTTTAACTATTTCATGGGATGTCTGTGTTTCTGGTGAGGCCAGCATTTGGTGCCCATTCTTTCTTGCCCTTTTATAAGGTGATGGTAAGCCAGTTCCTAGAACTCCTGCTTGGCAAGTTCTTTGGTATATCTTGTATTTGTTTGGTCAAATAACATGAAAAATCCAGTTTTCTGATGGAGGTTTCCTTGAGTCAACTTGTGTGACCAATATTGTTTCTTTTTCCACCAGGATCCGGGTTATTGGGTACAAGTGCATCGTTTGGAGCATAGTGATGGCGGCATCTTGGATCTTGATGACATCCTCTCTGATGTTGCTGATGATAAGGACCGAGTGAGTTCTGTGCAAACAATGTTTTGTATTCCATTCTCGGCTGTTCATACCAGAGGATGCTAACAGCTTTGGGCAGTTTTTCTCATGTGGAAAATGATTATATTTGTAAATGCTGAGGCTGTATTCTCATCCTCTCTCTCGGATGGAATGATGCCAGCTCACATAACTAATGTTGCAAATCTCCCATGACGGATAAACAGCTTTTGAGTGAATGAGTGTTCTCATTTCTGAGACCAGGACGATCCTATGTCTCAGCACCTGGCCTGTGTTTAGCAGTTACTTTCATCTGGGGAAGTGCAGATGGTTTTGTCCTCCCTGTACAGCACGGACTTCTATTCCTACTGGAAGCACATCTATGTTGAAGAGGCAGTTAGATTTAATTGTGATTATCCCATATTCCAGCTGACCGTCACCACCTACATTCACACGTGAAGAACCTTCTGCCTGTCTATTGTGAGTTGTTCATCCCAAGAAATTGGGAGTAAAAGAACAAAGGAAATAAGATTGAGCACAACAGTCGAGGTGAACATAGGAGTGGATGATACTGGAAACCATCAGCAGTTGAGCAGTGGCTGTGAAGGGAGGAAGGCTAGATTAAAGTTTAAGGCATATAATCATTCACTAGATTTCTTTGTATATGAACAGCCTTGATAGAATTAGGATATCTCATGGGAGGAAGCAGCTATTCCATGCCTTTTCACTTCACTTACTAAGTGTAACTGGGCTAGATTTGTTTGTTCTTAACTTCTCATATAAAAACATTAGTAGATTATTGCCAGTAGCTGTGCAATGTATTACACTGTCCAGATCTGGGCTTTTGAACCATTGGTTTTCACTATGAAAACATTTGACTGTTATTGAAAAGGTTGGCTGGTGAAGACCAGAGGTGAAAATACCTTTTTTTTGTCAAAGACTATATAAGCTGGTGATCTGAAATATAAACCGAAATTGTTGGAGAAACTCTGCAGGTCTGTAGTATCTGTGGGAAGAAAGCAGAGTTAATGTTTTGAGTCCGGTGACTTACTGGATTTTTTCCATTCATTTTAGGAATTGTTGTCTCAGCTGAAACCTATTGCATTCAGTCCAGTTGGTCACTCATCGTATTGCCAGTGTTGTTTTCCTCTTATGTAATGATCACATGAAATTTATATATGACCAACTGCTCTGTAGACTTAATTTTTTAAACATGGATGTCTCTTTAATATCATTAGATCTAACATTATAACCCAGTGTAGCAAGTTCAGATTTGGTTGTTGGATAGAACATTTTGAGCTCTGTAACACTAAGATGAAGTCATGGGACTTCCAGAGTTATCACTGCTTGGATTTTTGCCAAGTTTGACCTCCATGAAAATCTGAAGGTCAAGACTCCATTGCAGGTGTGAGGTCGATTTCTTTCATTAAGAACACTCTTGTGAATTCAAATCTTATTAATAGCAAAAACAAACTCTTGCATCTCACAAGTGAAAGTTTGCCTCCCCTCCCACGTGAAGTGAGTGAATATTCTATGACCAAGTTTATAGATGATGCACAAATAGGCAGGAAGGCAAGTGTTGACAATGCCACACAATATACCGGGGGCCGGGGTGTGCAGTAAAGGAGCTACATACTATTTCAATTGCAACAGACTGAAGGAAGTAGTAGCACAGAGGGATTTGGGAGTCCTCATCCATAAATCACAAAAGGCTAGCATCCAAATTCAAGGAGTAGCAAAGAAAGGAAATGGAATGTTAGCCTTTATTTCAAAGGAAATGGTGTATAAAAGTAGGGAGATTTTGTTAAAACAGTATGAGGCACTAATCAGACCATAGCTGGAATACTGAACAGTTTTGGGTCCCTTACCCAAGGAAAGATATACTGGCGTTGGAGGTAGTCCGCAGAATGTTCACTGGACTGATATCAAATGTAGAGGGACTGTCTTTATGAAGAGAGGTTGAGTAGCTTAGGCTTGTACTCATGGGAATTTGGAAGAACGAGAGTTGACCTTATTGAAACATAGTGTTTTAAATGACTGGACGGGGTAGATGCGAGGAAGCTGCTTCCCTTGTTGGAAAATCGAGGACCAAAGAACACATCTCAGAATGAGTGCTTGCACATTTAAACTGAGATGAGGAGGAGTTTCTTCTGTGAGGATAATGAATGTATGGAGTTCTTCACAAGATAATTGTCAAGGCAGGGTTGTTAAGTATATTCAAGGCTTAGATTGACAGAAAATTTTAATTCACAAGGGTTAGAGGCGGGGAAAGGTGGAGTTGAGGATTGTGATAATTGACCATGATCACACTGAGTGGCAGAGTGGCTTTGATGGGCTGAAATTGCCTATTTCTGTTTCTGTATTTTATGGTTTCCTCTAGCAACCTTGTTGGCTGCCCACTCAAGCTTTATCTCTCGTTCTTCCAAGGAGTTGTCCCTATTATTCCTCCCTCAGACTCTGAGTGATTACTCATCTTTGGTAGTTTCAATCTCCAAGCCTGCTTTCTTTGCATGTTCCTCTCTAAATTCAGGGCTTTTCCTTCACATAAATTTACCAGCCTGTATTTCAAGCCACCACTATGGTATTGCCATCCTCCATGGCCCTGTGGTTATGATAATTGATGAGACCAACTCCAACTCTTTCCCCACCTATCATTTTTCTCCCTACCTCCTCCCCCTTCCTATCTTCTGCATGTAAACCAACGTTTTCCTAGCTACTATCAGTACTGAGGAAGGGTCACTGGACGCGAAACATCACTTCTGATTTTTTTTCTTCATAGATGCTGTCAGATCTGCTGAGCTTTTCCAGCAACTTCTGTTTTTGTTCCAACTACTTCCTCGCAGCCCCAGCATCCACATTCCCTTAGCTGCTGATAACTCCATTACCTTCTACGTTCGATAAGGCAAATGAAGGATGGGTTTTCAGTGCTTAAGTTACTTTGTATCATACAGGTATTTGGCATTTGTTTCTGCAATTATTATGATAAGTCCAAGCTGTTGATCTGCTCAATCAATTCTTCTCATTCTCTCCCAGCAAGGACTTTTTTTTCCTGTCCATCTCCCAACTCATGTTGACAACAGCTTCCAAAGCCAGTGGAACACACTTGAATGTCACTAGTGTACAATGGGCAGCCATTTAATACTAAATCTCATTCCAAAATACTGGGCATTGGGATCCTCTACCAAAACTGCATGAGATTTTGTTTGTATATATTATGTATTAGAAAACATGTACTGAATCTAACAGCAGACTATAATCTTCCATACATTAATTGATGACTAAGTTTGGGATTTTTCCCTTCAAACCAATTTGTTGATGCATGATTACTTTTAGCAGTATTTATTATTCTTGATACCCATCTGTTTGGCCACAAATTGTAGTATAGACAGTTTTGCTGTGTTGCTCTGTCATGTATATAACAACGTCCAAACTTAGCTAACAACAGCAGTGGAAATGCATTGCGTGACAGCAAAGGGATCAATTTTGTTGCATGAATGGGACTAAAATGGTCTTCTAAAGAAAAAGATGGCATTGACACGTCCGCTTTAGAAAACTGTGTATCTGTTTCATTGTTCAGTAGTTGAACTTAGATTTTTAGACCTTGCCTTTCTGGTCTAGATGCGAGCATAAAGGTACTGTCGCGGTACTAGTAATCCTGGATCCCACCCTAATGTTCTGGAGGCGTGTGTTCAAAACTCACCAGCACAAATGATGAAATTTAAATTTGGCAAACATTTAGCCTAATGATGAACATATTACCACTGGCTACTATTGTAACAAAACATGTGCCACCCTTACTTGGTCGCATTTACATGTGACTTCAGACCCATACCATTGTGGGTAACTCTTAATTGCACACTTGGCAAATAGGAATAGGAAATAAATGCTGACCCAGCCAGCGATACTAGCATAACATCAATGAAGCAAAGACCAATTCTTGGTGAAAGAACTCAATGCAAAGGTGGATCTCCAAGATGAAAATATTGACTTTGTTCAAAAAGCGTTAAGTACTCTGAGCAGACTTGAGGGTATTCCTTGATGGATTAACTAAATTGGGTTGGGTTGGGCATGGGTGGATCTCTCATGTCTTGACACATCGTTGTTCACTTTCAGTCTTGATGAGCTGGAGACATCCATTGGTTTTACGTGATGTTCAAATGTTTATATTCTAACAGGGGTTGTTGGCTATTGATCTGACGTTTGAGCACTTGTGAGATTTTACCCAATTTAAAATGTTTGAAGAAAGCAATTTTAGTGCCTCACCACATCAAAATATTTGAGTCCTGTTAACATGGCATGGAATATGGATTGGGTCTAAGATCTTCCTGGTTGTCTGATTCACTCATGCGAATACTTTCTGTTTTGTCTTTGTATTTAAAGTACAGGTTGCGAACTAGAAACAATGGGTAATCTAGGGGCTAAAATGTGAGGGAGGATTACTATCAACACAGGAAAAAGTGCAAGAGAAACTGAGTGGACTAAAGTGCAACACGTTCCTGAACCTAAGAGACTGCAATCTGGAGTTCTAAAAATGAATAGCCTGACCTGGGAGTGGAGAGAACTGATCGATCTTTATTTATTTTATGTAGTCTTTTTTCTAACAGAGAATTCTGAGGAACCTTTCTAAACATACACTTTGTGCCACTTTGAGACTTCTGTCACCTTAGCAATGGCTGGAGCCAAGGCTGGCGTACAGGAAGATGCTTGTGGTTGTTGAAGGTCAGTCAGCTCCAGGACATCTCTGCAGGAGTCCCTCAGCTACCGCTTCAACGACCTTCCCTCCATCATACACTCTGAAATGGAGATGTTCACAGATGTTTGCACAATGTTCAGGACCATTCATGATTCCTCAGATAGTGGAGCAGTCCATGTTCAAATGCAACAAGATTTGGACAATATCCAGGCTTGGGCTGACAAGTGGCAAGAAACATTTGTGCCACATAAATGCCAGGCATTTACCATTTCCAATAACAGACGGTCTAGTTACCACCCCTTGACATTCAATGATGTCATCATCATTGAATCCC